CTCAGGTATAAGTTAGTAGCTTTGCATATGTTGGTAACTGGGCATATCCTGAAGGCACACCATTATATAGAGCAAATATAAATCTGGTGTGAGCACGTAGAAGTCAGTGCATGACGTCATAGTTTCACACCTGTCCCTGATCGAATTAAATTACATCACCTGCGTCTTATAGAATTACCATTTAGAAGTGATGTCAGGTTTTTCGAAAACAGTGATGGCATCCTGTCACACGCGTGGCGACCATTTAATTTACCTTTCCGCAATTGAACGTTTTCTCATTTAGAAAACTGTTGCTTGTCTGACAATGTGCGCTGGTCGACATGTTGCCTGTGTTCTGTGTTAAGTACGTTACGTCAATCTTCCCTAGTTTGACAAATGGACTTTTTCGAACAGTATATTTTACCCAATTAAAGTCTTGTAAACACTTTTTTGACAGACACCGAAAAAATGAAAATGTTATGAAGCGGCATTTCTGAAACACGATCCATCGTTGCACATAAAAAAGAAATGATTTAGAACATTCTGATCAATAACGAGTGAGATGACATAAATCACTATTTTTTATTTTGTTTAATTAGATTATCTGATCACAGTAATCCCACTCAATAGAGATGTAATGACAACTAATGCAATAATATTCATACAATCGACCGATGAAAACATTGCATGTGATATATGTTTCCTTATCTTATGATTGGTTTAAAATGTTACATGCTTATCCAGTTGATTGACTGAATTAATTAATTATTGACTAAAATTATCACGAATTTGCGAGAAAGCCCAAGAACAGAAGACGTCGCCGACAATGCTGTTGCGGAGTCTCTTATTCCGTAAATATTGGCACAACTATAAATAATCGCGGCAACATTTTAAAATAATAAATTGTCAGTTTACCGCAAATAATTTATAGTTGCATTTTGTCCTCATCCATCTACTCGTAAGTTCAGAATGTGATTCATTAAAAGTCCAGAACTCGCACTACAGTGCTAGTAATTTTTGAACCCTGACAAGAATTATAATTATACTAGAGTCTCAAATCAACGTGGAAATCATTATATATCATAATACGTAATATACGCTCGGGAATTTGGTAGCGGATATATGATATCTGAAAATTGTTTTTATATTTATTATCAAATTTACGAAATATGCATTTGATAACCTCAAAAATTGGATAATACCCTATTCAGTTAATAACAGATAATAACAGAAATATTGTTTAATTACATGTCATTTTTCTGTATACACGTCAGTCTTAACTAAATACAATATCAAGATGGGAGTGTTTAAACGCGACAATGTCTATATTTAGCGTGTTTATTTACTTTGCAGGGTGGTCGGAACTACGTGTAATTCACAATGCAATTACCCTACACTATTCTAATTTAAACAGTGCCGTAATCTATTTTCTTGCAAGGGGTGCTTTACCATATTATTCTTACAACGCAATTTCCAAAAAAGTAATCATAAAGCACAAGTGATTTCATTCGAAATGCGGACCTCTTAGCAGCGTTAAATGTCAAATACCTTAACTAAACCGTCTTATTCCGTTAGTCAAAATGTTTTATAGTGTCTGTTAAGTCACATGACGTTAAACGACATACATAAATATCTGACGTTAAAAAAGAACAATTGAAAATAGGATGATGTACTAACTCCTATGATTACCGGAATTACTTATTCAAATAATTAAAAATGTTGTTTAATATGTCACAGCTGAGTTGGTGTGTTCACTTATTGGTTAATATATGAATGTACTAATATCAGTACGGAGCATATCCAAGTCATTGACATTGACAATTAGTTTTTAATTTATAGATTAACAGATCAAGACGAACTGGTGGGTGTTATAGTTCTTCAAGTGCAGAAATAGAATTGAAAATTTGTGCCAACACACAAACTGGCACTTTGCGTTTTTCATCACAATGGAATTTCATCACAATTATTAAATATGTTTTAATTAGTTTGAGCGAAATCAGCTTGTGGGATTTTAAAATGATTGATGGCCTCATAGTAATACTTTCAATCCAGTGATGTCATTTCATTATAGCCTGTAAGCACGGAAATTTCATGTTTCGTAATATTTATTTGACTTTAATATATAACATATTCTCTTGTGTATTAATATACGTTAATTGGAAACACTGTATCTATTTTAAAAGACAATCAATTTACGCATCCTGATGACATCTATATGATTTATATCACAAGAC